TTTTTTATATTACTTTTTATATAATCTTACGTGTCATTTAAATTATTAGTTATTTTTACTCATTTAAAATTTATAATATTAAATGTATATACTTATTTAATTATACATAAAAATTATATAAAAAAATTAATATAAAAAGATGTGCCTATAGCACCGTTCAAGGAAAATATAGACTAAACCAGTACAAACCCCATGGTTAAATTGATCCCCTGGAGTTACCATTAAAAAAAAAAAAAGGATCCCATAGTGTTGATTTTATTAAAGTTGGGTGACCACCCTTGACATTTTCCCTTGTGTTTTTTGTTTGGACATTGGACGGTTTTTCTCGCCGGGCTTGCGCGGCTTTTAAGTTTTTGAATCCACATCCTCTCCGTCTCCACCCTATTTTCCTATTTTTATTCGAATTCCTCTCCATGGATGAAGCAGTAAGTCCGAGGCAGAGAGCGACAATGATAAACCGCCTTCAGTCTCCGACCACTGCCTTTTTTTTTGCGGTCCAATGATGACAAACTCGAACGCGCACGGCACGCGCAGCCGCACGCTCCGCACGCTCCGCTGCAATCCGCCCAACAGCCCCCGTAACCAATCCTCCTTCACCGCCTTCCGATTATTGTCTCAGCAAACAACAAATCATCGACTTGTTTCAGAACTGCATTAAACTCGCCAGCGAAAATGTCAGTTTCCTTTGCCCTTCTACGGAAATTTTAAATAAATGCTGTATCTGTGCTTGGAAATTCAATTGATTATTACTATTGTTGGATACATTTTTTAGAAAATAAACCAGAAGAATACTTGGGAGTTGAAGCTTATTGATCATCTTAGTGATATCATCAAAGTTGATGCTGCAGAAGCTGATTCACAGACTAATTTCCAAAGGGTATGAACAACTTTTATGAAATTATTATATACAATGGCTATACTAAATGCTTATGTTTTAGTGTTTTAAGTGCTTATGGGAGTTTGATGGAAAGGCAAGTTGCACGATGGAAACCGGCGTGAAAGTTTACTGTGTCAGAGTAGATGCTGCGCATGGATAGGCAAGTCGCCTGAATTTGTTTTACTCCCCAATCAGGATGGCAGTTATTTCATTGGCTTTATCTTCTAAAACGGCAATGGAAAATGGACGAGATGGCATAGTTTCTTTGCAGTATTTCTACCGCTGGAAATTCAAATTGACTGATCACAATAATCCGACATTCTGCTTTCCTAGTGTGAAGGGAAATTTAGTGGCTTTCAGAATGGCTAATGAAGGGAAGGTATTTTTTGCAGTACTTGAGACGCCTGAGCGTCCTTTGTGTCTCCTTTCGCCAGAACTTTCAATTAGAATGTGATGGAGAGCTTCTTTCTGTGGTTGTGGCTGGGCTTCTCTGGAGAATGAGTACAGATTTCTAGACTGCATTGCATTAGGTTGGATTGCTAGTAACAATACTATAAAAACCAAACTATCCGTTCATCGCAAGGTGTGATACCTTGTAGTTTATATAATTAACATCAACTTCAAGCATCCCATTTGACGCAACCACCTAATTAGTGCTCGTGTAATTAAGTTAATATCATTCTAAATAATAACTGCATCAACATAATTAATCCATAGCTACAACAAGCCGCCATGAACATAAAACATGCATCATCCACGTGACATGTCCCATAAGAAACTACGTAAAAGTGCGGATCAAGAGAAAAAGTACCCCTCCAAAAATAAAAATCACTGTATATAAAATGTAGTTTATATAATTAACATCCAGCGCAAATATCCCATTCAACACAACCAGCTAATTAGTGTTCATGCAATTAAGTTCATATCATTCTAGGTAACAGCTGCACCAACATAATCCGTAGCTAAGATAACCCAACATAAACATAAAAACCTGTGTCATCCATGTGACAAGTCCCGTAAGAAATGACATAAAAGTGGGATCAAGGTAAAGTTAAAAGTTTTCATTGTGCTGAGAGGACTGGGTGCAGGGACCACCGGAGGATTCAGCAGCAGCAGTAGTTTCTCCTTGCATGCCAAAGGGGTCATGATGAGACTCTACAGGAGAGACAATAAGGTCATGTAATACCAAGGCACTAACTCCAGATACATCAATATAAAAAAAATAAAAAATAAAAATAAGACATGGCAACTCAGTACTAAAATAACTCACTACTTCCAGTACCAGTAGAATTCATGGCACCTGCCGTCAATGGAGTAGTGCTGGACTGCAATTCTCCCTCACAATATCCTGCAGGTTAGAGAAACAGTTCAAATAATAATATTCCATAATTAGAAGAATGTCAAAAATACTATAATAATGCAGCAAAGCATGTGCATACCCGCCAAATTTCCTGTGAATGTTTCAAGGTCCAGCGGAAAGTCAAGAAAAATACCAGAAATATCCATGTCAGGGAATGCATCCTTTCGAAATTTGAGAGAGAGAGATGAAAAGATTCAGATAAAGGGCAGTAGAAGGAAAACATGAAATAGTCTATCACTTTTGAAAACATGTGCATAATGTGGGGCTTTGGAGCCAAATCAGGGCCCATGTCTGGGTATGCGTAAGGCTGTGATGTAATAATACAGGAGAATCTATTTTGTTGATGTACACCATGTCATGTTTAACTTCTGTTTATGGCTAATTTTGTTATGAAATGCTTATGCTAACTGTCATGACTTGATCTGTACATTGCTAATTATCTAAATTATGCATAAGAGAAATCTCTCATGAGCATTTCTATTCCTCTTCTTAATTCAGTAGGTTGTTTTTAGCATGTATCAAAATTGACTAATAACTATATAATTTTAATGGCTCCGTTACAGCTTGAAACCAAGCTCACTGTTGTGCATATCATCTCATTTCAGACTAGCTAGCTTAAGAGGTGTGTCAAGTGTAGCTGATATCAATCCTACTACTCTAGATTAGTCATGCAAACCTGTTTATTTACCAAAACTAGAATTTGGATCCATTGTTTTGTTAGGCCTTTTGTATTTAATTGAGCTTTACTCTACTTGTTTGTAAACACTTTATGCTCATACCATAAGGACTACTAAAGGTGAGAGCTTAAACTAGTATCACAAAATATGTCAATCTCCAATAGACTAAATTCATAGAATAATAGAGTGTGCATTTATTATCTGAATGTGTACCTGCAGAACAGAATACAAACTAGGCCCTTCAATGCTCACTTGTCCCAGCTCATCAAAAGTGAACGTCTTCGGCTCCACCTGTGGAGGTGCCCATGATGAGCTCGAGGCCTCCCTGTCATGAGCAGCTTCTGTCATTTTTATTTGTGTACCTTTGTCACTTGAGAACAGAGATCGTTGAGCAGTCAGTGCAGCAGCTGGCTGATGAGCCTCAGCCATAAACCCACTAACTGGGGATGACCTGGAGTAGGGTAAGCAGTTGCAGGCCTTTTGTCCCTATGGGTTCCATCTAGTTCTTCCTCTCTTTTTCTCTTTAACTTCCCTTCTGGCTCAAATGGAATTCCCATTGCTGTCACATTCAAAACAAAAGAGTTAGCCCACAAAAATTAAGACAGCAGAGGGGACTTGCAGCCCCAGGTTGGCTGGCAAAGTGCACCAAAATCCTTGGCCCATACCAGGGTTCTGCAGGCTACTTGAATTCATGCCAGTGACACCTTCTAGTCCCTCCATTTGAATCATTTCAATTTGAAGTTTCTGCAGGTTAAGAAAATGTTAAAACACTAGTAGTTCTGTAATTAGAAATGACAAAAGCATAAATGCAACATAACATCTATATATAACACCAACAGGTCCTGAAAGTTAATAAATTAAAACTAAGTCAAAACACTAATTCCATAGGAGATACAAATTACAAAATTACAACATCTTAAAACGCTAACATCTTCTTGGAAGTGGAACTTAAGAGGAGTAGGAAAGAGTCAGATAAAGAGTGATGTAATTAATGTATTAAATTCTACCAAAAAGAAAAGATGGTTGGAAGGAAGTACCTCCTCCCATACTTCACAAAGCTTCTTGAATTCTTCATTGAATTTTCTTTCTTCCTCTTCCTCAACCTATATTAAAACAAAGATTAGTCAAATAATAGATCGAGGGAAAGGGAAGTAAAATTGTATTGTTCAATCTTGTCGACTGCATTTTTATATATAGAATTACTAGTGCATAAAGAAAAGTTTTGGATAAGAAACTCATGAGAAAGATCATCACACCTTTAAACAAACGGCCTTGAACTTCTCAGTAACTCCCTCCTCAGAAAATTTCTTGAACAGTTCTTGCCATTTCTGAAGAGTAATGAATTCACTTTACAAATATATAATTCAAACAGAAATATTTAATTACAAAGAAAAACTATCACTAAATGCAACTAAATTAACTAAATAACTGCAAACTATTAAGCTTGGCTCTAATATCAGCAACTGTATACTAAAAAGCTAATCACCATCAATTGAACTACTACAAGGTTTTTATAGGATCTCATTCTGATCATGCCAGTGCCTTCTTGGTTAATAAATCTGTTTGGTTGATAGAAAGTGCATAAATTAAGATCATAATCGATCATACCTTTGTACTTTCTTCAATTCTTT